GCTCCGAGAGCCGTAGTGTTGATAGTTGGTTTGTGCATAGCTTCTGTTTTGCTGAAACATGACCAGTGCGATAGACCTCTTCCTTTATCTTACAGTGTGCCAAGTAATTGGCATGTATGACTACACTGCACAGAATGACGATGAGCTAGCGTTCAATAAAGGCCAGATTATAAACGTCCTTAACAAGGAAGACCCAGACTGGTGGAAAGGGGAGGTGAATGGACAAGTGGGTCTCTTTCCATCCAACTATGTGAAGCTGACAACAGACATGGACCCAAGCCAGCAATGTAAGTGACCCTCTCTGCTGCCATGCTGTGATTATTTTGTGTAGTACTTTAAGATGAAACATGCAGCATTGCTGTGATTCTGCTGTGATTCGCAGAACTCAAAGTTTCGCCACTGCTGCGCTTGTCAAAGTCTCTTTGAAGACCTTCCGTAATGCAAACCTTATTTTATGTTTGTTTTATTTTTAGTTCCCATCCCTTTTGTAGCATGTTACCCCTTATCATTTTTGCACCATGCTGTTTACATGCCTGACTCATTTTCCTAGCTTAAATTTGCTCATTGTTTTGTTTTGCTTATGTGTTGTTTTCCTCCTTTTTCTAGGAATCATATGTTGTCCATCCCCCACTCAGGCTTGAAAGTCCTCAAAGAGACCCACTATCCCATATCACTGCCCAGAGGGATGATGGGAGATGCAGCCTTGATCATGTGGCTTCCAGCATGATCATCTACTGCCTTCTGAGTAGAAGAACACACTGCAGAGCAGTTTACCTCATTTTACATTAGTTGCATGTAATCGCAATGTTTGAGTTAATTACCTACAGATACAGACGCAAAATTAAAATGAAGCAAACAAACAAAACAAAAAAAAAAACCACAAAAAAATCAGAGGATAGTGGGTCCTTTTGTGGCTTTCAGAGTTACCAAACTAATTTTTCCACCTTTGCACAGGTGCTTTCAGTAGTTTTAAAATTATTTTTGAATATATATTTTAGGCTTTTAAAGGAAAAGTGTAAATTAAATTTCTTCATTGCAATTTTATTTGTGCAAAAAGACCCACTATCAAGGAATGCTGCATGTGCTATTAAGATTGTTCCAAATGTCCATAAATTTGAGACTTTATGTATCTTTCTTTTTTATTGTTCACTTGTCCAGTGTTGTCAATATGTCTTTTTTTTTTCTTCTTTTTTTTTAATTACAAAAGAACAGAAGGAGTTAAATCAGTTTAAGGAACTTTAAATGTGCCCAATTACAGATAAGGTATTTTGTTGTAGTTAATGTACTGTATGTATCAGGTGTTTCTTGTTGAGTGTGTAATACATTGTGGAGAGAAGAAATTAACTTCCTTCCAATGCAAGAGATATTAACCTTGCATAATGTTGTTATCCCAGTTATGTTAATTTTATTTTGCACATTACTTGTAGCTGCATACAGTTAGAAAACACCCTGGTTTGTGTTTGTCTCAGTTGTTTTGGGTTTTGCATTTTCGTATCAGAAATCAATAGAATGCTACATTCATGTGGGATTTGAGAATTAACTTCTTTATTTTCATCTTGGTTACATGAAGTTCGATTTCTCATTTTTACTTTCTCATGACTATGGAACAACACATTTTGAACAAGTAATTTTCCTGACAAGAAAGAATGTATAGAACTATCTCCCTGCAATTAATTTCCAATGTTTACATTTTTTAAACTAGACTGTGGAATTTATACAAATTAATATTAAATGGAGCTTACAGTCAAGTTTATGTAGTAGATGTGCTGTAGCTAAGCCATGTCTGTCTTTCCAGCATTAGTTACAAGCTCTTGATGAAATGCCTGGTGCTGTCAGTGCAGAAACCCTCTCTTCCCAATGCCTCGAGCACAATATAGTCATTCTACTAATTTACCATTTAGTTATGTTCTGGTTTATGTATTTCATTTATTTCTAAATTTCATGCTGGCAGTGTTGTAGCGTTTCTAATCCTACCCCATCTCCCTCCTCCTGACCCGTCATGCGGTGCAAAGAACAAGTGAAGCTCCTTATTCAATTGCACTTCAGTATTTCATCAATATGAATGTAAATTATATAAATATATATAAACCTGCAGCTTTAACAACTGTAATACAGCCTTTAAAATTAGTTACATGTGTAGATAATTAAATTCTTCATATAAAAGATAGACTAAAATGTGTTTGTTGTCTTGTCGCTGTGTACACAGAGTTCACCAAGTGGCATTAGTGCATGTAATGAATTTGCCACCAGGATAGCCCGAAGCCCACCTGTTTAATTTCAGAATGACACTTGCCTTGTTTCTTTGAATATTATTTCAATATAATTACTCAGATTGATCATGATTATCTGCAGCCCTTAGCACCTTTCTTTCTGTATTCAATGATTTCTACATGTTACAAATCTGTTGATATTTTTTGACACTATACTGGTAGATGAATTAAGTATTCTTTGTTGTTTTACCATGGGTTTACAGTGACTTAGGCTCTGTGTTTTATGCCAGAAGCTTTAGTCTTAAAACATGCACAATTGCACAGATTTTCTTTCTTTTTAGGGTAGTATTTAACATGCAAAAATTTTTCCTTTACTGCTCTGCCATAAAAAAAAAAATAAATTCTTCTCCAGCATAGCCACTTGCTAAGAAATATGCTGCCTGGTATGACAGAAATTGAACAGAACATAATACTTGTAATTTTTTATGCCCATTGTTTTGCTTACTGAGGATGATGTAGCCAGATTTTACTCCACTATTTCAATATTTTGTGCATTAAAATGTTATTTTAATGAAAGGATATATCTATTTTCCCATAATGAGCTGTCGTGTTGAAAGATTTATAACTTGACTAAAGGTGTTTGCCCTAAGGAACATTTTGTTTTTTATGACTTCAGGCCAGAAACATACTTTATATATTGAAACATTGGCAATACTTTGGATATAGGGGTTTCAGATGCCACTTTTTTTCCCCCTGTTACTTCAAGTCAAAAGAAAAATAAAGCTATTATAAGAATCTGCAGGCTACATGTTTTCTAACATGCTTGTTAAAAATGCTGATAGTGATGTCTCATAAAAGATTTTCGAAATCACAGTGCCCTAAAAGTTCCTGGGGTCAGTTTTCCCCTGCAGTGAAAAGAACAGCCTGAAGTTGTCCCTCTGTAGACACACCCACACAGAGACCCTGGTGTATGTTGTGCCAGGGCTCCTCAGATAGCAGGGTCCTGCGCATTGCTCAACAGAGCAACAGCTTTATCCATCAGTCTGTTGTTGAGTATAGTTAGCTCACAAAAACTTCAAAACTCATTTAAAACGTCCTAGACAAAGATATTCAAACCATTGTGGCTTATATCGGCATACGTTGTTGAAATACCTATAATGTTTATTTACTCAATTATTAAAGTTCTTAAGTGTACTACTATAGCTTGGCATGGTAGTTTTTAATCTTCCTCATAATCAGTGATTTCCTTTGAGTAGTGGGGAACAAGGTATTGCGCTTACTCTTTCTTACCTGTCTGGATTTTTGGGGATTTTTATTTATATATATCTCTATATATAATTTTTTTTTTAATGAGAAAGGGAGTGTGAAAGCAATTCTTTAATAAAGAAAATCGATTCTTTCTATCAAAAGGAGTAGTTTTCTAGGGTTGTGTCTCAATCCAGTTTTGACCCTCTCTCCTCCTTCCTGGTTCATCTGAAAAGATCTTTAACCTCCTAAGGCGCACGGTCCCCTCCCAAAGCCGCAAATCTGGACTGCAGCAAGCAAACCTGTTTCCAAAAGAACGCTTGCCTCCTGTGATGGAAATGTGCCCACGCTCTTGTTTCTTTGGTCCTTGAATTTGTGGCTGCAAAGCCAACGCTAATCCCAGTCAAGGCTGAAACAAGACTTAAATAGACAAAAATAAGAAACAATTCAGATGATTTTCAATTTTATTTGTATTTTAGGTTAACGTTAGGAAAAAGAGCAGTCTCAATGCTGCCTAGTCGATTGAATGCATTCTTTATATTAACTTTCATGTCCCAGGTACCTTTTCGCTTTGCATAGGAGGTGTCACCCAAGGGACATAGAGGAGACTGGGTTTACAGACCACTCCAAGTAGTGGTGGGTGGGGTTTTTATTCACAGTTTTTCTGTTTACCTTGAGAAGAATTTCCTCTGTATTCAGATGCTGAGGAAGAATTCCCATGAATGTTCTTGTTAATATCAATTCCAATATTTTAAATCTGTTGAAGACAAATCAGAGTCTGAAATGCAGGTTTATCAAGAACACTTTGCTTTATATTCAGTATCAGTTTTATTTAAATCTCAATTATTTTGGAGCTTCAGTGGCATCTCTTTCATTCCCCGTGAGCTCACTGAACACATTTTAAAATGACCTATTACCATAACCTTCCTGCAAGGCAGCAAACTAACTGCATGTTCTGGTTTTGTTCTCTGCAGTTCTTTTTAGTTCTTTGTGATTATTGACTCCAGCTCTTTAACTTCTTGTTAAATAGCTCCTTACATGCAGTCCTCTTCTGATTACAATAAATGACTTCAGTGCATCCAGGGACAACTTACCTCAAATATTATTTAATCAGTTGAATTGCAAGCTAAGTGCATGCACATAGACAACTGGATAACAAGCTGCTGCTTAGCTAAATAGAGGGCGCTAAGGTGACCTTTTGATTCCAAACCCTGAAAGAATGTTTTCAGAAGGTTGTCCTGGATGCAGTTAAAAACGTAAATTATTGTCATGAAGACTTCATTTCCTGCATGTAGACTTAATGGGCTTTTGTACTTGTTGCTTGGTAGCTTGCAAAGGAGTACTTTACCATGAATAAGGATTCATTTTGAGTTATTGTCCATGTGAGGAGAAATGGTGAGAGCTGTCTTAACTGTCTGTTGTAACCTAGTAACATTACTAGTACATGCAAACATAATTCTGGTATATGCAACAAGATTCTATAGCTTGTTACAGTGAGTTTTGTAGCTGTTTCATTCCCCTCCGTTTTCCATACATCTTAATTTGGAAACTTCTTTAAAAAAACAAAACCCGAGCAGTACCCCTGTAGCCCTACAGTGCTGCTCCTCAGCACAGAACTTGATATTACAATGTCTGTGTAGAGCCGGAAACTAGTTTGACTCAAATCTCTAACACTTCATCTGTAACTTTTCTTAATCCTGTGGAGCAACACAGAATAAGAAGCCAGATCTTAGAACAAACTTAATCTTGTGGAATAGTTTTAATTAAGCATGTAATGGAAAAGGTAGCTGTTAGTGTCTAAAGGTGGAAGGGTGTTTATACCCGAGGCAGCT